AGCCCCTGAGTTGAGCCTTTTTAGACATAGGGCCTTCATTCCCTAGTCGCCCTTTGCCAATATTAGGGCTCCAATCCCTGAGTTAAGCCTTTTTAGACATAGGGCCTCCATTCTCTAGTCGCCTTTTGCAAACATTAGGGCTCTAATCCCTGAGTTGGGCCTTTTTAGACATAGGGCCTCCATTCCCTAGTCGCCTTTTGCCAATATTAAGGATCCAATCCCTGAGTTGTGCCTTTTAACACATAGGGCCTCCAATCCCTAGTCGCCTTTTGCCAACATTAGGTCTCCCTTACAATCCTTTGTTGAATGGGCATACCCATTCAATTTACAAAAATCCTTGTACATTCAACTACCTACCCCTTCAATCAAACAATGTAGATTCTCCTTCCTTACAAGAAGGCTACAAAATCTGTACAAAGTTAAGAGAGGAGCAACATTTTTCACAAAACTGTTGTGAAAGCATCAGTAGTGGATTTTCCCACTACTTTAATCCCATTAAAGGAAGAAGAGCCTTGGCGTAACTGGTAAAGTTGTTGCCATGTGACCAGGAGGTCACGGGATCGAGCCGGGGAAACAACTTCTTGCAGAAATGCAGGGTAAGACTGCGTACAATAGACCCTTGTGGTCCGACCCTTCCCCTAACTAGTTCAAGTGCCTTTCCCTTTCCTGCTGCGACACCCACTTCCCTCTCCGTTCAGCTTAGCAAATCATCAACTGCCTGGAAATTAGCTCAGAGAAACAAACCAAAGTAGTGTTAGTTATCAAGTACAAGTGCATCTTCCACAGATATCATAACAAATGCCCAAGATTACCATTTCCAGTCAACTCTACTCCATAATTTATCACAAAGTCCTAATCCAAAACTCAACTTTGTAACATAATTTTCATCTGTGCAGGAGACATTTTAACCATCATTTACTGTCAGAAATTGGGGATTTCCGTTCATGCAACCAAGAACGGAAAATGAGATCAACAGAACTTCCGATTATCATGTTTAATAATCACTTTTGTCTTTCTATCCAGCCAACGGCCAGAAACAGTAT